GCCTTTGAGAGGTAACTGACACTGATTCTAGCCACTCCAATAGCTATCAAAATGCCTGAAAACAAATCCTGAGTCCATCACTCTTGAGTTCAGCTCTGGCAGAAGAAAAAAAAATGAAAAATGAGCTATTACCTTGGTTCTAACCATTGCTTCTTGCCTCTTCAGATATTTTCAGGACCAAAATCCAAAAACTTACTCTCATACTAATTTTAATCAGTTGTTACTTTTCTTCCCTTCACAATATACGAATGCCTGTCAACCATCAAGGACAGGGTCCCATGGACTTCCAATTTCTCAAGCCTGAAAAAGGGAACTGAGCTGATAAGCACCTTGGTCTTTGAAGTCAAGGGAAACAGACTCTTCTAAGAGGAAGCCTACCTTTCCTCTATCTCCAAAGACAAGATAAGCAGATTCTGTTAACCAGAGAATTTAGGAGCCGTTTTAGTACAGCAGCTTTTCCCTTATCTTAGGAGGACGAAAAGTAAACACTTCCTGACCCAGATCCTGGCTTGTAGATGGAACAGAGCCAGGTTTACAAGCCCTGCTTTTCCTGCTTCCCCCCACCTGATTTTTCCCAAAAAACTTCCCGTCTTCTGCACCCTGAAGCCCCCGTATATAAGACCCAGCTCAGAATCTGGGCTGACATTTTCCCTGACTGGAAGGGGATCTGCCCCATGTGTTCCTTTGCTAATAAACTCTGCTTTCTCCTGATCAACCCTATTTGTCATATGGCTACTTTTTATCTATCAGATACAAAAAGTTCTGTTTAATTCTTCCTTTTTTTTTTCCCATTTTTCTCCCCTCTCTATACTGCTTGTGTCAAGGGAGGCTACTTTTGCAAAAGATCTTATTTGAGCTCTCCTGACATCGTATTTCCAGTTGTGTTTCCTGTGGGAGGAACAATAGACTGGATGTGGCAGGAGATAAAGATAAGTGTTCCCCAGTGAGATCTATCCCTATGGGGCTTCTCCAGGAGCCAGACATTGTAGGAAACATCTCATACAGTAACACTTGTGGTTTGCTTGACTCACAGGAGTGTTTCTTAGGCCTGTGGGAAGGAAATACAAGACAATTAACAAACTATGAAAGACTAATTTGTCTTTTGGCCTCAGGCATTGGCAAATTATGCAGACCATAGTACTCCTAAGTATGATGGCTTAGGAATGAACACGATCAGGACTCATTGTAAAATGGGATGTTATCAAGTGAGAAGCAGGTTAATCCTAAAAACAGTTCCTAAAGTAAATGGTTTCAAGAAATTGGATGCCAAAAAAATCTCAGGTGGAGAACTTTGAAGTTATCATAAATATGTCCTTCATGTAGACATAAAACTATGGCAAGGCTGACAGCATAGCTGGATTAAGAAATACCTGTTTCTCTGAGAAAGGGCTCTCTTAAACTTCTGCAACCTCGATATCGGGAGAGTGAAGAAGATGCCATGAATCCCTTGAATAAAGATTTATTCACTTTACAATAAAAAAGATAAGTGCTCCCTTTCTTTCTAACCTGGATGTCTATTCTGGGGATGACAGCATTCCTCCTCAAGCACAGCTGCTATTGCGTGGGTCCTGCTACACAGTCGAACATCTCATCAAGATGCTTTTCCCTCACCCTTCATCTCTAGAGTTATAGACAGCTTCTTGTTGTTGCTTGTCTCCAGTCCTGTTACTGTCACTACCCTTTGTTCCCTCTCTATATCCTAACAGTAGTCTTCTCATTAAAACATCTTAATTTGAGCTGTTTGAGGGCGGACAGTTCCCTCCTAGGAATACAACTAATGCAGAGGCAGAGGAATTCAGATTATAAACCTTCAAATGCTGGAACTGAAAATATTACTGTCACCCTCAAGAGAGATGAGAAAACTCAGAACACACCAATTTGAGGAATAAAGAAAAGGTTAGATTATTAGATGAATAAGGAAAAAACCAGGACTCTAATCACTGTGAATGAAAAGAATGGTTGTCCAAGTTTGGGTTCTGTTTGCTGCAACTTGGGAAGAAAGGATTTATTTGGCTTGCATGTCCTGATCATAATTCATCATTGAGGGAAATCATAGTAAGAGCTCAGGACAGGAACCACAGGTAGCAGCCAAGGCAGAAACTATGGAGGAATGCTACTTCCTAGCTTACTCCTCTGGCCTGTGCTCAGCCTGCTTTCTTACACAACTCAGGACCACCTTTCCAGGGGTAACACCACTCACGGTGGGCTCGGCCCTCCCATATCACTCAACAATCAAGAAAATGCCTCAGAGGTCAATCTGATAGAGGACAACTGAGGTTCCCTCTGCCCAAGTGTGTCAAGGTGACAACTAAAACTATCTAGCACAATGGTAGAAGATTACATAGGGAGAGAAAGATTATAGAGAACCTGTAGATCTAGTGAAGCAGTTGGGACTTTACTCTTTAAGTGCAAGAAAAAGTTATTGTAGGATGTAATTGTTCATTCTTTGTGATATATGGGGAACACGGGTAGGCTGCCACATGTAGAACCATTGGGGGCTACCTCAGTGGTTTAGGTCCAGGATGGTTGTTACTTGATCTGAAATGCCATTACCTGAGGTGGAGAGAAGCATAGAGATTTAGGATGTGATTTACCACTGGGACCACGAGGGTTTCCTGAATGATTAGATAGATGTGACAAGGAAATGGAGGATTCAAAGTTGATTAATGACTTTTTGACTTCAAGTGAGTGAATATGCTCATAGTTACTGATGTGGGAAAAACTGCAGAAGAAATAAATTTCACAGGTGAGGGAAAGTCCTTTCCATGATCCTTATGTTCTATGATTTATTTCAAGAGTTCAGAAAAAATCATAAATTACATTACAGCAATTATGATGATTTATTAGTGAAAAAGGATATAGATTAAGGGGAGTCAAGGATACGGAATGCTAGGGTTGGGCCCAGGAGAAACTAGGCATAAGCTTCCATTTGTCTTCTTCTGGTGGTGTCACATGGACAGTGCTTAATTCTCTCAGCAGTGATGTATGATAATATGTGTGATGTAGTCCCAACTAGGGAAGTATATCTGATAATGAGCAGTCAGTTACATAGACATGAAGTATCCAAATGACTGACCTTGGATGTTCATCATCCAGCCTTTACACCCTCCCCCCAAATTCTAACTGATATGGACCTCCAGGTATACAAAGATACAACTCAGATCTAAGGTTCTAGGATCCAGTGAAGGCAGAATCCTAAAGATCTTTGGGATGTGTAGGGCTGGTTCTCAGACCTATTAAGTTAACCATTTACTAAAGAAGGAGAAATCAGAAGTTCTGGCTGAGAAATCTGAAGTTTAAGATTCTCTTCGAACATCCAAATAGAAATGTCAGGGGATACGGTCACTGAATTTCCAGTATATATAAAGTATTTAAAAATCACAAGATTGGATGTGATTACCCAGTGAGAGATTCCAGGTTTAATAGAGAAGTTCCAGAAGACTGACAAATCATTAGAATCTAAGGGGAGAAAAAAAATATGGGAGCAAAAAGTATAGAAGGGAGCATAGAGTTTACTTATAAACAGAAGCCAAAAGAGAAATAATCTGATGATGGAGGAAGTCAACTGCAAACTCAAAGAAGAAAGTACTCATTAAGATGGGTGGAACTGGAGATTACTGTGTTAAGTCAAATACCCAAACTTGGCAAGACAAATAGTGTATGTCCTCTCTCATGAAGTGGCTATGTTTAACTTTATATAGATACATATACATGTGTGTATGCAGGGCACGAAAATAGAAAGTAGATTGTGGGAGGAGAGACAGAGGCCTAAAGTAGGGTTGGGAATGGGAGGGTAAAGGAATATATGTGATGTGAAGAGGAAAGAGAGGGATTTAGAGGGAGGAAAGGGACTAACAAGAGTGGTGGGGACAGAGAGGTCTGGGAAGGCAACGTGAAATGCTCTCTATGAAAATGCTTCAGTGAAACCCAATACTTGATATGCTAATAAAAGTTAATAGGCAAAACAAACTTTTTAAAAGAAACAAGATGGGCTATATGGTGAGATCATGTTGTAAAAGTGAAAAAAGTAATTGTAGGCACAGAGGCAGTATTTGCAAGTGATTTCTTTACTTGGGATATCTACAAGGGATGATAAAAGAAGCCAAGTGTTCTAGTTTGTTTCTCCATTTCTGTGACAAAACACTCTGACCAATACCAACTTGGGGAGGAAAGGGCTTATTTGGCTTACATCTTCCAGGTCACAGTTTATCAGGGAAACCAAGGTAGGAACTCAGGGCAGGAACCTGGAGGCAGGAGCTGAAGCACAGGCCATAGAGGAACGCTTACTGACTTGCTCCCCCGACCCATGCTCAACCTGCTTGCTTTCTTCTACAATACAGAACAGCCTGCCCAGGAGGGGCACCACCCACAGTGGGCTGGGCCATCCCACATCACTCAGCAATCAAGAAAATATCCCACAGACATGGCCACAGACCAGCCCAATGGAGGCAATTCCCCAGTTGAGGCTCCCTCTACCTATGTGTGTCAAGTTGACAACTAAAGCTATCCAACACCCCAAGCCAGGGTTATCTTGTTTTCTTCAAGTTCTTTCTGGTCTTACTTTCAACATAGGGGAGTGGAAGAGAAACTACCACAGTGTAAACCACAGGCTTTTGAATCACACAGACCAGTGCTCTTACCATGTATCAGTCTTGCCCGTCAACAAATCAGACTGCTCCTCTGAACTGTTTCCCATTTAACAAGTGAACAGTGAGTACTCCTGGGTGTTTTGTCTGTTCCATGTACATCATGAAGTAAAGAGAATAATGACTGACACGTGTTAAATGTCCACAAGTCTAGATTCTGCCTTTCTTCCTGATCCGCTGAGCATCTATCTTGCTTTTCTCTTAATTATGTAATGATTCTGTATCTTTTCTTGATAATTTCTTCTTCTGTCAAAATCCAGGATTTCCTTAGCCTGTGCTTGTTCCCCTCTCGTATCTGATGATTCATTTGCCCACTAAACTATGCCTACTAAATCTGTAGTGTTGTCATTGGTGGTTCAATTTTTTAATGGGAACTTGAAATTTTCTCATCAGTTTTAAGAAATCCTGCTTGAATGGCAATCTTTTAATTGTGTTTATCAGAGAACTGAGTTCGTGTGTCTGTTACAACATGCATCAAGTCATTCATACCGGTTTGACACTTGGGAAAGTTGGCTTCATATTCATTCTAACTTCAGGCAGTAGGCTGTCTCCATGGGGACAATGATTCATACTGTACCTCATCTCTAACTCTAAGTATTGAATAAATTCATTATTTTTTGATATAGTGATTACTCTTCAAATAAATCACTTTACACCTGTGGGTGTCACTTAACAAATGAGAGATCTGTGGTTATTGTAAAGTCGAAGAGTTTATGATTCTGTGAGGCCAAGGTATGTTTCATATTTATCTAGGAGGTAAACAGCCTTCCAGTAGCAAATTAGGGTGCCTCTTGTCTCAGAGGTCACTGTGCTTCCTCCTAAGTCTCTCATAGCCATAGGAGAATAGTGTGACGTACTTCCAACTTTTCTGTTATTTGTTACACACAGAGTCAGACAGACCAAAATGATTCAGTTGACTCTTCTTGTCATGCATCAACTCTCTGGAAATAGAAAAGAAACATGGTACTAATGATGATCTGGATCAGTGGGCTTTGGTGATGTAAGAAGGAAGGTGGCAGGGAGGAACAGATGTCAAGAAAGAGGTAAACAAAAGGATTCAGATATCTTCTTGGGAAAAGTGGGAGGGATTGTACCGTATGAAACTCAGAGCTCCAAGGAACTCACCACTAATGTAAAAAGGTGATGAAACACAGTCCTTCCAGTCCTGTCAGCAAACTGACCTTTGCTGTCATATCTCTTGTTTATTCTGTACACATATCACATTGGTCACAGATAAGTGCAGCTTTGTATGTATTACATGGGGACATTCCCTGTGGTTTCACTGCTGTCAGGGTGTGAATATGAAGTTAGGCTTGGAATGCTGTCATTAAATCATATGTTTGTGTTAACTATTTTCAACATGAAAAGTGAGCCTTTGGGAAACCCCAGGAAAGGTTGGATAAGGAAAGGAAGTAGAGATGACTAGGA